GGATTGCTTTGTTTTTCCCAAAATTCACCTAAATCCTGACCCTTCTGGTTTGCAAAAAACACTAACTAATCTAGTGCAGTCACACACACGCTCCCATACGCACAATACACAACCACAGAATGACGCAATGCACGCAAACACATTCAATCACTCTCTGCACTCTTTCCCCGTGTCCTCGTCAACATAAAGCCAGATTTTATGCAGTCTAATTCCCACCGGCTAATGTAGTCTGTGCTGCTGGGAGAGAGAAAAGGCTGCCAATATATCTGAACCAATCATACAGTCAGGCTCTGTGGATGATTGATACTGTGTGACAGAGGAATAAACACTGATGTAAGAAATAAGAATCTTCTGTTGATTTTTCTGCTTTGTGGAATCAGTAACAACCCTCCTGTTTTCTTTTTCGTTTTGGCCCTTCTTGCTCGTTGCTTTGTTGTTGTTTACATCTTTAATTCTGTGCTAATTTGCCATCTGCACGTGAAGCACAATATTACTATTCGTGATATTGATCGGTTTTCAGTGCACATTACAGTTTTCACCAAACGTTTAAACCAAACGGCAACCTCTAGCTTTGAAAAACAGTTCCTTCAGTGTCCACTTGAGGCTGGCTCCAGAAGCAGAGAAGTCACATACACACCCATTCAGGTTTAAAATTTCATTCAGCCCTGTGTCTGAAGGGTTGATAATTTCCTCCAGATCCATGTTTTAAGATTTTGGTTGAAATTGTCTTTAGGTCCTGACAGAAATGAATAACTCATGTTCTCTGAAAAAGGAATGAAGAAAATCCATCATCTGTAGCAGTTTGTAAGTCTGTAAAAACTTCCACCAATGTCTGCCACGAGGTACCAATCTGATAAACCAATCAGACGCCTCCATGTCTCTCTGCTCGTTCTCTGCCCCTTGTGTGCTCTAGCCCACACTCAAAGCGCGTCACCGATGATGGAGTTTATACTGAGAGTTTACTTACCGCTGAATGAGACGACATAGTTTCTACGCAATGCAAGAGATGAGCTGAGGTCCACTTCTGGAGAAATGGCACTCGTGCATGTAAGTGAGGGGCGTGGCTTTAAAGGTAGCACAGAGGGGAGAGGGGGGTTGTGTAGACAGAGCACTGAATGCTACTTTCAAAATCATGCTAGTTTTAGAAAATTACCAACCCTGTCTTTAAATAGTTGTTAATATTCAAGCAAGACTTACTGTGAATTCCACAGGGAGACGTACTGTAGAGTATTAGTGTTGTGATCTAAACTATTGGTGCTTTGTCATATTATCATTCATGAAAAAGAAAATCTTGTACCCAATTTCACCCAAACAAAATTTGTGATGAATCCATTTACCATCTAATCTTAAAACTGTTTTATAAGAGATGTTGTAGAGAGAGTCGTGTGGAGGGACTGAAAAGTGAAAAAAGAGGGGCCAAACATGTCCTGGTTGGGGCGTTGGTGTGCGAAGCGACAAAGAGAAATGAAAAGTGTAGGGGTGCTGGGGTCAGGACCTGGGTGCAGGGGAGAACAGCCATTTCCTGTTGACCTCTGTTTGCACTCCGGCCCCTGACCCACCCCTCTATGCTCCAGGCCGAATGGGGGGCAGGGTGAAGGGTGGAGATTCAGTGGTGTTTGTTGTGTGTTTCGGGTGCTGTGGGTGGGATGTAGGGTGGCTAAAGGTGGAACTGTGTGTGGATGTTTAAAGACTGAAAGGATGCAGATCAGAGGAGGGGTGAAGGTTATGGATAGGATGCAGGATGCAGACATCAGGAGGGCAAACTTATAGGGCTTTACCACTAACAGAATTCTCCTGAAAAGCTCCTGATATTTCCCGGAGGAGCTGTATGTGTGAACGCAAACAGCCACATTTTTCACTCTGACTTCACCCGGAGTTTATCCTGCCAGACTCCTAGTATTTTTTCCACAGCAAGTCAGAGTGAGCTGATGTGAAAACACAGCAGGATATAATCAGGACAATTCACCTCGAGCCAATAGGAGGGGGAGCGATGTTTATATACTGTGACTGCTGCACTGTGTTTGGACCTGATGAAGGCATAAGTGATATTAATGATGAAACTGATTTCTTTAAATGAAGAAAACAAAGTTTGACCTTTTTTTTGAATGACTTTTGACATTTTTTGACTTCTGTTGAATTCAAAATGTTATCGGAGAGCACTGAATTGTTCCGGTGCCTGTCTCAAAGACTGGGTAACGCATGGATGCAGTCTCGATGACGTCACCCATTGGTTTCAGAAGAGGCATTATGAAGCCCAATGATAGTGGTCAAATATTGGAAAATGTTAACACAACCGTTCAATCTAACAAAAGGAAAAGTGGGGGAGCTCAGGCAGGCCTAGTGGTGTGTTCTATTTGATCTTGGAAATTGGAAATTACCAGTTGCCGTTCTGATACTTCATCTGGATCCCCCCCTCGAAACCGGAATTCCGACTTTGAAGCTCGGAGAACCTTTAGTAGCCCGAGTTATAATCCAACATGGCTGCTGCGTGCATCAACAGTAACATTTAAGATGTCAAATTTGTGTTTATTTGCAAGATCACACCATTGGTATCTATTGAGATGTTATTTTCGCTTGCAAACTATCACATAGTGTATCATCCGGCTTACAAAACAAAGTTACCCCTGGAGGCGTCCGCGTCGCTTGTCCGACTTGTTGCCAACTCGCAACAGGAATGCAGTCAACCCGGGTGTGACGTCATTCCCAGCCCCGAGATCTGAGATAAATGGAACGCACCATTAAGCCCACAAGCAAACAGCTACACCCCTATTTATGCAACTCTTTGGCTTGGATGTATCTATTTTGGCACACATTTTTGCATGCTATGTAACGGCAGTGACGCATCATGGTGCGGATAGTATCGGACTCGATCTGTTAACTTTTCTTCGCAACTTTCCGCCAGTGTTGTAGCGGCTCTCCGGCGTCTCTGATGTTGGATGTTGCTCCTAGTGGTTATATACATATTGCATCTCGCAGATGTGCAGCGTTAATTTCTGCGGACGTGCACAACCAACGCTCCAAACCACCTCAGGATACGCAAGGCTGATGTCATGCGTTCACATAGTTAAAAGCAAGTATACTCAGAGATTTATGCTTAGTGTCTCGGTCTCAGACTGGGGGGAATCCGGGGTTAGGGGTTAGACCTTAAGACTGGTCAAGACCACCACTATAGACTATTTTTGCATGTTCCCGGTGTAATGGTCTAAGTGAGAGACTCGCACCCCTGCACACAAGATGATGATTTCTCATTGATATCTATGGTCTTGGCCTTGACTCTGTCTCATCCTGCCTTGGTCTCTGTTAGTGTGATCTAGACTACAACACTACTTATGCTAACTTGCTAACTACTCAAGTCTGCTGCTGCCATCGAAAAGCCTCAAATGAATCGCTTCTCGCCTTGAGCCATGAACTGTTCTCCAGTGGAATCAGACAACACATGCAAACACATGACCAGTGACAACAACTCTTACAAAAAAAACATTTTAATACTTTAACGGTATTTTCAAACATCCTTCAGAAATGTTTCAGCAGTCCGAGCAGCGTGGAGAGGGAGCCGAATGTTTGAAGAGTCCTTTGGCTGCAGCTCCCCTCACACACTGAGGTGACAGACAAAAAATGTTCTAGAAATGCTTACAGAAGAGTGTGTGTGTGTGTGTGTGTGTGTGTGTGTGTGTGTGTGTGTGTGTGTGTGTGTGTGTGTGTGTGTAAATGGCCTTCAGTGTAGTGTGTTTTGCTATGTGTGAGCATGTAATGTGTGTTTGTGTGCGAGTGTAGAAAGGATCTAAGGTACGGGACGCCTGTTGGCATCTTAAGGAGGTCAGTGGTAAGAGAGCGAGGCAGAATGGAAGTCATTCATAGTGTTTAGCTTCATGCTGAGGAAGAGCACTAATATTTCACCAAGCTTAACGTGAAGCTGCATCGGCCTGGAGCGGCACACATAAATATAAAAATAGAATAAGAAAAAACTCAAAAATCCGCTTTAAATAAAGTGTGTGTGTGTGTGTGAGACGGTGTGGAAGTCGAGGAAGACGGGGAGGAGTGAAGAAGAAGGCGTGTTCACAGAATCAGGTCCAATCCGGTAATGTCTCGTGTGCTGCAACAAAGTCTGCGGATAAATCTTCTCCGATCTGGTTGACTGTCTTCCTGTTGTATCAGCCGGCATGATGGGAAGTGTAGTTTTAAAGCATGTGTGTCTCACCCACAGGACACAGTGGAGACGTTTGGAGAGGAGGAAGCACTTCTACTCTGACAGAGGTATGGCTTTAACCTGTGGGTCTAGACTGAGAGTGTGTGTGTGTGTGTGTGTGTGTGTGTGTGTGTGTGTGTGTGTGTGTGTGTGTGTGTGTTAGCTACATTGAGGTCAGTGTCTTTCAGTGGGGAATGTAAACCTTCAGAGCAATTTGTCTTTTTTTCTTTAAATAGTGTTCTGTATGCACATACACCCACACACACACACACACACACACACACACACACACACACACACACACACGCACACACACACACACACACACACACACACACACACACACACACACACACACACACACACACACACACACACACACACACACACACACACACACACACACACACATATATACTGTATCTCAACGCGCACACACTCATTCAGTATTATGCTCACACACACATCCTGAGTCCCTCCCTCAGCTAGTGTGCGTGTATATCCAGTCCCTGGGCGAGGAGCGGCTCTGCAGGGTGTGCGTGTGGCGGCGGGTGTAGCAGCATGGCCGGGTGGGGGTGAGGTCCAGGGTAGGGGTGGAGGGAGGGTCCCGGGTGGGGAGGGTAGCCCGACTGGGACAGTAGAGCGCCGGGGTAGTCGCCCTGCAGAGAAGACATCCCCTGGAGACCTGGTGGGGAGGCAAAAAGGTTGGAATTACATTTTCAGTGTAATGTGTGCGCTTTACATGGAAAGGAGCCACAGGTCAGATTTGAACCCAGGCCACCCGCTTGGAGGACAACAGCCTCCGTCCGTGGCACACTAACCAATATTCCCGTGCACAAAAATTGATTTATTGATTTAATTTTGTCAACAAAGCTACCATACCTGCTGCTCGAAGCCCGAGGTGGGCTTGTCCGTCCAGCCCGTAGCCTCCGAGAGCTGCCCCCTCTGGGCTGTAGGGACCACCCTGACCTGTGACATGACACATTATCAGACACAAATACACAACACACACACATATACACACACACGAGTTGTTTGCATAGCGACCGTCCAGCTGACAGATTTATAAACACCGACCTGTTCGATTTGACTGGTCGATCATGGGCTGAACTATTCTCCTCCTGGCGTTGATGAACCTGCAGAGGAGAGAGAGACATAAAGAAAGAGTGAGGCGGACGAAGCCGACCTTTAATGGAGAAAAAGGCTGACCAGGGGACTATTAACCTTTTTTCCATTTTACAACCACTTAACCCTTTCAGAGGGCAGAGTAAATCAACGTTAGGGCAGATAATTGATTGATCTGCATTGATTCAGTCACTCTGTACGTGCTCGCTGCAGGGACGCAGATAAAAACACCAAAATGATCAGATTACAAAATCTATTGTTCCACATGTAACACACACTTCATACTCGTGTGCCTTTCTTTACCAACATATCAGAAAGTGAACTTTATGAAGATGTTCTGCCCGTGCAGAAACAGGCGCTTGCACAGCGAGTGGACGGGGGATTCAGGAGCAGTAAAACATTTCGGATTATTAGATATTGATTTGCAATTCTGTTTTACGAACATATAGTGAGTTCCTTCACCGTGCTGAAGCTTAAGAATAAAAAATGCTTAGCAGAACATTTCTTCCCGTGTTACAAGCCGATTATGGTCGAACCCAAAAGTCTTGTAAAAGTGCCTCTGGTCGTTAAATCAATATTTTAATGTGCAAAAAGCATCTCGGATAAAGATTTATTAGGAGAAAAAAGATGCAAAACACAGAGTTGTAAAACACAGACACAGCCATTCCTGCAGCAGACTATTACGTGGAAGTAGTATTGATGTGGCAGCGAGCACGTTGTTAAATTAAAAGCTGATGCGTTGCATTCAAACATGACAGTTTAACTGATTATTGATAAGCTGTACGTCAAGAATTAGTGTATCGATCGGGAGTGCACTGACCAGTTGTTGACCTGTAGGATGGTCAGGCCGGTGTCCTGTGCCAGCTGCTTCTTCTGCTCCTCAGATGGGTACGGGTGCTGAGATGGGACACATAGAGAGTCAGGGTGAGGCAATCTGTGAGGCTACCAGAATTATGAATGTAGCTTCAGCGTCAAGCTACAATAAAACAGTGTATGGAAGGAAAATCTGAGCGTGAATACCGATGACCTTCCATCTGAATTCACATCTGTGCTCACATTTTAAACCCTTCGCTCTCTCTCTCTCTCTCCGTTTTTCTCGGCCATAATTGGAGTGAAGCAACATTTGACCTGCCTCATTTAGTAGCTAATTACCTCGGCAACAATTACTCACTCCATTTCTATCACATCCATAGTTATTCAATAGCCAGCATATTTACATAATCACTTAATCCCCACGATTTTTCATTTAATTTAATTGACCTCCATTATACACCCCGTTCCCCTCTCCATCTATTCTTGTCGGCGGCATTTTGCCTCACGTTAAATCCTCTCTGTCGGTAATTGTTCTCTCACACAGATATACAGAAAAAAGCTTTCTTTGTTTTGTTAAAGCTCTGCAGGATGGTTTTAATTGTTGTCTTAACTGCGCTGATAAAGGAACATGAAAAAGCGTCCTCACCGACAGATGCTGGAAGAGCCAGGCTCTCATGATGTTGGTGGCCACTTTGGGGAAGATGCCTCTCTTCTTGTTGTTCCTCCGGTCTCTGTCACAGTCGTCGTCCTCGCCTGTACTCGGGGAGGCCATCGCTCCGTCCAGACCGTCTCCTGCAAGCGTGCACAGAAAAATACCTCGAGGGGTCACTTCGGGTTCATCCTGATAAATTTATAATCCCACTTTTGAAGATAATTTTCTCATTGTGATTCATCCTTTTTCTGTCTCTCTTGTAGAACTCGACACTGCTCTGTGCAGCCTTTTTCTAAAACTGATGAAAACATGAATGCATCCTTATGTGACTACTTGCTTTTTTTCTAGTTTCAATAGCCCCGGCCCCCTCTACAGGGTCAGGGGGGGCGCCTAAGGTGGGGGCACCCCTACATCAAAGAACCGGAGACAACAAGAAATAGAATAATTACAAAACCTGAGGATGAGTTTCACTTCAAAAAAGGTGAGGGGAACGAGTGAAAGGATGTTTTGTCTCCTCTTAAATTTTAAACCACCCCTTCAACACCCTCAACACACAATAATTCAATATGTCTTCAGTTCCTGCTCGTTTCCGTTTTGTCTTTGTCTTTTTCCGTCCTAAGCGTTAACACATGTTGTCACATCCCTACAAAGTGTTGCTACTGTAGTGTCTCTCACTTGTCCTGTACTGTTCTGCATCATTTTATAAAAATCAGTTTTAATCGCATTTCAAATACAACACAGAAACGATGAAATGTCCAACTTTTTTTTACCCCCTCGTCTTTGTCGGCAGGAACGCTGAAGATATGAGGAAGAGAAATTGGGGATGAAATCCTGGATGGATGTGACCGTGAACCAGTGACCTGCTGCATGAGGGACCTGGTCTCTGTGTACTGAGGTAAACCAGCACCCCAAGAATTAACACTAGTTTATTTTCAAATCCCAAACGGTCTGAAAGGACTTCATAACCATAAGTAACATAGCTAAAAAAAAACTGTAATATTAGAAAAGTGGGCGCATATTTGCACTGAGTTGAGTTGGACAAGAGAGACTGAAATTAAATGTTTGTCGATGTGTGCAGAAGGTTTTCTTCTGACAGGATGTCGGCTTCATTATCTCATTGACTGCAATAAAGTTACTGAATTGGGATGGACTGACTGTGTCCATGGACAATGCTCAGAATTGCAGGATTAGCTTCTTGGTGCATTGCTCAGGGGCACAGAGGCACTACTCGGCACCTCTCCAGATACCAGACCAACTTCCATATTTTGGACCACACTGGGACTTGAAACGGTGACCCTCTGGTTCCCATCCCAAGTCCCTACAGACTGAGCTACTGCTGCCCCAATTTGGATAATGGTGTATTGTTTGTGCTCCTTTAAGTCCCACCCCTGGTTGTAATACTCTCTGCTGTTAATAAAGTTGTTTGTTTCAGTTTTGGCTATCACAGGCATGCACACCTCTGTTTCCATGAATGCATCACTGCATCGTTTTCTGTGCGTCAGTGTGTGTCAGTGTGTGTCAGTGTGTGTCAGTGTGTTACAGTGTGTGTTAGTGTGTGTCAGTGTGTTACAGTGTGTGTTAGTGTGTGTCAGTGTGTGTCAGTGTGCGTCAGTGTGTTACAGTGTGTGTTAGTGTGTGTCAGTGTGTTACAGTGTGTATTAGTGTGCATCAGTGTGTGTGTGTACCTGTGTCGCTACAGTTGTCTCCTGTGCTGAGTGAAGGCAGGCCACAGGTGCCCGGTGTTCCCAGAGGAGTGGTGGCGCATTCGTCTGGCTCCCGTAACCACGATGCATTCTGCATGAAGAGACACACAGAGAGAGAGCGAGAGAGAGAGAGGAGGTGTGAGGGAGAGTGATGGCGAGGCGGGGGAATTCCCAGCAGGTAAAGAGAACGAGGAGTCACTTAAGCACGTGGTCATTGTTCAGACACCCAGAGGACGCAGCTGGAGCTGAACGCTGCAGCCTCTCATACTGTGTTAATGCACGCTGTGCGGCAGCTGGTCTCACCTGCTCTGAAAGACTGGAGCAGGATCCAGTGAAGTCCTCCATGTCCGACTTGGAGCCGCCCTCCCGCTCGTCCAGGATGAGGTCTGTGGGCATCTTGCCCTTCAGGCAGGTGATGTAGCGATGGCAGAAGTTATCACACAAGTCGTGCACCTGCAGGAACAGATTAACATTCATCAGTTTGTAATGAACACTGGAGCGACATCAAAGACACGGCCTCATGATTTACTCTGAAATTTAAGTGAATGCTTTGATGTTACCTTTTCTAACTCCAGCAAATGGAAGCGGAGCACCTGAATGGCCTGGATCATCTGATGAGAGAAGAATCCAGATTACTCACATGCGTGTCAAAGTGTTGTGTTCATGTTTCACTCTGACGTCAGCGTGCATCTTACCAAGTTATCCAGCTCAGGATTGGAAGAGAAGATGGGTTTCTCTGAACGTATCTGAAACACACAAAGTAGTCGTTTGATTTTTCAGATCTCGAAAACTTCAACAGACCTTCTTCTTCTTCTGTTCTCTGATTGGCTCTCCCGGCTGTCACTCACCTGCTTTGCAAACGAGGCGATGTCATCGTTGAAGGAATCAGAGGAGCAGACATCACTGTGATTGGTCATGCCAGGGAGGTGGGAGGTGGCTGACATGGAGGCGGAGTCCCGAGGGGAGCAGGTGGCGAGCTCGCACTTTTCAAACACTAAGGCCAGCAGTGGAAACAGTGGGTGACTGCGCACACACGCACACACAGATACACACAGACACACACGCACACACACACACACACACACACACACACACACACACACACACACACACACACACACACACATATATATACAGTTAACATACTATACATAAACACAGTAACAGTTGACAGAGCATACACACGATACATTTAAAGAAGGTGTAACAGGAAACTTTATCACACAGTATTTATGAAACAGACGGCAGTAAACACGTCTCGTGTATTTACATGGTCATGACACAAACATAAACTGCGATGTGCTCAGAGTGCAAATGTAATTGAAACTGTTTTTCCGCCGCCAATGGGCCACATAAATCACATCTTGGGTTTCAGACTGAACACACACACATACCCATAGATCTGGTCTTTGTGGTGCTTGAGGGAGTCGGGGATGGCGGGTCCGTACTGTGGGGGAGGAAACGGCCTCACATCGTCCCCGTACCCCCCCACCGACATGGCCTCCGACCCTGAGTAGTGCACCAGCTCTTCATACTGAAACACAATTAGAGAGAAAGACAGTTCATGTGAGACACGTTGGACATCTGTGCCGCTCCGACATCAAACCTGAGAGTGATTTTATTAAACATGGCGGAGCTGTCAGGGGGGCTTCACAGACGCGGCTTACTGACCCCCAGTCACTCAGATGCACTGCTGTGTGTTTAGATTCTGGTTCCTGTTACACCTGCAGATTGTATCAGAACCTAAACATGACGCAGCTTATCATACGTTTATTACTGATTAGTGAGACAGTTTTATTGTTCTGCAATGGGACCAATAACATCTTTAAGTGGAAAAAAAACTGAAATTATACATTAAACATTTAAGAGAAAATGAATCTCCACATACTTTGATAATCAACAAAACCTTTCAGTGGTAAGAAATGTCAAATAAATGAGCGAGTCCCAGCTTCTTAAATGTCGGACATTCTGCTTTTTTGTCGCCTTATAAAATAAACGTCTTTAGATTTTGAACGGTTCGTCAAATGAAGAGATTTAAAATGGTCACTTTGGTGGGTTTTTTTTAAAAATATAAAACGTTCACACATTCTATCGGCTGCTAATTGATAACGCACTCGAACAGATCGACCTGTCATCAGAAGATAATTGGCGGTTTAATCAACACAAAAATATTTAACTCACTTTCACAGACAATTAATGAAAAGCAGAAAATTTCACATACAACAAGTTAGAAGAATTTGTGGCATTCTTGTTGGGGTGCCAGATGGCCTAGTGGTCATGTTGCATGCCACATGTACAGAGGCTGTGGTCCTCATTGCGTCTATAAAAAAAAAAATATGGATCTTTGTGTTTGCATGGTCTTAAAGGGAAAACATGTCAAACATTACAAGCAATATGAGCAACCATATCAAAGTCAGGAACTTCTTTAAGCTCAAAACCACTGAGACAAATATTCACAACGAGACTCAATGATCTGCATGAACTGATCCAAGTTGTGTGTGTGTGTGTGTGTGTGTGTGTGTATTGATAGAATTATGTCACGACAGTTAACTGTACGTGTGAGTATATCCCCGATCCTTCTTGCAGATGCAGCTGAAAATTCAATCTGTGTTTGTATTGAGAAATTCTTTCAGAATGAATCATTTAAACTCAAAAATCCAGAGCAGGTGGAGATTTATGAAAAACACTTCAGTTTGGAGGAGGAGGAGAGGAATAAAGCGAGAGAGATGAGACCCTTGGAGGAAAAACAGTGAGCCTGCTAATATCTCCTCCTCCCTTCTAAACACAGACGAGACAGGAGCCGTGCTGAGACGTCCCTCACGACCCGCTGTGACAGCCTCACTGAGGCCCGCTCACACACGTTACTAAAACACTGATTCAGACACACATATGGCACGCTCAGACACAATCACACACACATACACACACACCCTGAGAGAGCAGCACACACACACACACACACACACACACACACACAGACACACAGACACACACACACACACACACACACACACACACACACACACACACAGCATCATGAATATACATGTTTCCCCCTCTCCTTTTCTGTGTTACTGAGCTCATTTGTTCTTCACTGCAGCTTCTGTCTCTGCTCAGGGCTGCAGATCTGTCTCCGTTAGTCTACCTGATACCTGATTAAAGGGACTCAGCGTGCGGGGGCCGCCACGATCACAGACACACGGCACCTGCTAGCCGACCTGGCCTGGGACACCTTTCACTTCTGTGTTATTTTAACCAAGCCGTAAAACATTACGATCTGCTTAGCCTGCTTCTTCTGAGGACACTTTAGCCAAGGCGGGTGGCCACAAGAGGTTAAAATGTACTCGTGAAGAGTGACTGGAGGCGACAGCAGGGATTCCTTTATATGTGTTCCTTCAGATTGGCATTACTTAAACTTATTTTGATGATTTTTTTTTTTACTTCTGAAGCTGTCAGGTCTCAAAAGGGGACAAAATGTCTGTCCAAAAATGTCCAATTCAATATATCAACTAGGAAAAACAACATAAAATAAACTTATCTCTTTGTCAGTACAAGAGAAATTGAATTATATCCTGTATGTGCAGGCGCTGCTCTCCTCCTGTCCTCTCTACAGGACCCCCTGGAGGTCCCCACACCACCCTTTGGGAACCACTGTCCTAAATGGCTTATCAAATTGTTGTATTTCTGAGTCCCATATGGCCACCGGGATCACAGAAAGCACCTGCTCTGAGGCCCTGGCCCGGGACACCTTCTAGTTTTTTATGGAGGCCGGCTATTAACACAATCACCGCTATCGGATTGCGCGTCTCTCTTTACGCACGGCCCCTATCCGGTTTCTGTGCGTCAGGCGGATCAAAGCGCACAAGTCGAGATGACAAATTCCGTGAATTTTCCCTTTTTGTAAAGTCACGGAGCCGGCGAGCAGGCCTCACATGGCAGAACAACATTTTCATTGCAACTTTTAATTATTATTGTAACGAGGCCTAACAGACGCTTCAGCTGGGGAGACGAAAAACATGATAGAAGAATAACGTCATTTAAAGATCTGTTACAGGGGAAATGTTGAACTGAAACTTACACTTTCTTTATATAAAAAAATGAAATTTAGGGCTCAGTGTTGTCTTCTATGTCAGGTACTCTGAAAGGTCTAAATTATTTAAATAAACCAAGAACGACGGGTCAAACTTTGAGCGCCTACAATCTCATTTAATTATCTTAAACTAAAGCGCCCATTAGGCCTTAAAGAAATCAGGCTTTAATGCTAATTCAAAAACATTTTCTCTGTGATTGAATTTCGAAAGTAAAAGCGTGAAAATGTGATTCAGTTTCTGCTACATTTTGCATCAAGAATTAATTTAATTATCCAAGAACATCTTCCTGAATTTGTTTTTAAGTTTCGTATTTTTTCTGCGAGTAAAACAAAAACAAGGCTGAGAAGAAAAAGTTGGAACAAACTATAATGAGGAGGTTTTTAAAAACGTGTGTGCAGAAAAATACAATTCATTCCTGCACTGAAAGCAGATTCTACAATTTGAGGACAGACCTGTTGAAGATTTAAGGTCGATGCCTGTAAAACAACTGACTCTTTATTAACACTTTCATTGCCCTTAACTGCGTCATGCATGCACGCATTTGTCCACCAGCCCCTCATTTGATTTTCTTTGTCAAACGACCACTTTAAGAAACTTTAGGACTTTATATATTACACCTGAAGTGGACCATACTTGCTTTTTTTTAGCGTCCTGTAAATGTGGCTGCACAAATAACCACCGAGTGACGCATTTATCTTGTTAAACAAACAGCCTATTTAATTTGAAATATCTTAATTTGAAGATTGTTTTCTATACAACGCTCTTGTTTATTTCTCCGCGTACTGTACGTGTGTGCATGGACGTCTCCTCTCCTGCTCGGTGTCCACTCTGCACTGATTTTCTGTCTGCACACTGTACATCTCTAATTGCCCTCTTTCCACTTTGAGGTCTCAGTCCGCCTGCTGCCCGTCAGCCTCGGCCTGTTTCTCCTCCTTCCATCTCCATGCCTCTGAATCACTGTAGCAAAAAAACTGACCTACTTACCGAGTTGAAGAGCTGCATCTCCTCTCCTCTCCTCCGCCTCTTAATGACCTACTCTAACCCTGATGTGCCATTCCAGCGCGTGGCTGACATTCCGCAACAATAAATCCACATTAACTATAAAGCGATGGTTAAATATTAGAACCACCTTGACTGTTGCTCTTAAGACAAAATCTGCAAGTAATCTCCACCTCCACTTTAAGAATATGGCATTTTAAAGTACACTTGGCATTTTAAAGTACACTTGGAAGTTGTTACTGTATGTTTATTTGTAGGTTTGTTGTGATAGCCTCTATTTTTTTACAGCATTAAAGAGGATTTCTCTGTGACTCTGTAGTTTCCCCTAAAGTCCATGCCAGTGCAGTCCACTAGTCTGTTTCCAGAGGGCCTTGTGTTTTGCATGGTTGCTGAACCTACAGTGTGCAAAGAGGGATCCCAGCCACATGCTCCTATCGTGATGTCTTAATAATTAGCTCTCGGTCCCTCAAACCTGCATGCTGCCCCGGCCATCCTGTTGTGATCTAAACCACAATCATCATTCACAAAGACAATTTAAAAACTGCAGACCTACCCTCTTCTCCATGCGACTCGACAGCCAGTCCTACACCGGAGATGATGATGCGCGGCTCGGCTAGTGCAGCGAGCTTTGCTCCCTTCCTTCTGCCCCCTTGGGTCCTGGAAATAAAAGTAAATATTTTGGTTTAAAAACGTCGTTTGCACTAAAAGTTACAAACACGATCATTGCAAAAACAGCCTGCAAGAATTTAACGCACAAAAAAAAACCCCACAAGAGTGTGCATGGACAACAGTCAGCCCTGCGTGCTGCCCCTCTGTGTGTTTACTCCGAGCCCATCTCCGTTTTATGTTACAAGATAATGGTTATGATGTGCGCGTAATGGTTTAGAATGCACTTAGCGCTAATAAAGCTTGCAGCCTATTAAATGCTATGTGGGCTAGTGATGTTGAGTAATATACAAACCTCCGGTAAACGGTGTAAAATGTCCCACCGAGATGTAAATATCCGCTGTATCCAGTCCTGCTCGGACTAGTCCAGAGACCCGGTTGTAAAGACAGCAGCGGCTCCTGCAGCGCTTCGCCCCCGCCTGGTGTGCCTCTTGCTCCGGCTGGCGGCCGTAGGGATGCTCGGTGCTGTGGGAGGACAGACAGAAAGCGTCCTTTCCTTCCTTCCTTCCTTTTTGGCTCCTTGCGCTCGCTGTCCGCGCAGCATACGGCGACAGGCTGGAGAGTGTCAGGGGTGGGAGTGAGCGATGGTGTTTTCAGTCTCACGAGGAGAGAAGAAGAAGAAGAAGAAGGAGAAGGAGGAGGAGGAGGATGAGGAGGAGGAGGAGTGATGGTGGTGGTGATGGTGGTGGTGCGCGGGGAGGTTTCGGAGGGTCAAAACGCGACGGGGTCTCTTGCCCCCCCCCTCCCTCCTCCTCCTCTTCTTCCTTTACTCCTCCTCCTCCTTATCACACACACAAAACACCAGAGAAGAAGACGAAGAAGACCCCTTCAATCGTTTTATCTCGGCTCTCCTTCGAGGTGATATCACTCCTCCACCCCTCCCTGCCCTCTCCCCAGCCGTGCTGCAGCTGCGCTATTATCATCCCGGGAAAACTCGGGTTAGAATCAGTGATAACACCCTCACCGAGATACTGAACATGTTCAACTCCTGACAAAAACATTTAGACGAGGAGAGAGGAACGTGGACTCACACAAAAACCTCAAACACAATGTGCAAAATTAAAACTTTGAGTATAAACTGAAGTTGTGCATTTTAAATTCTGTACATAAATGCAAAACCTGTTTCTGCACTTTGTTCAGCTGCAGGAGAGTTAATTTAAGATCATTTTAGTCCAAATACAGGCTTAAACATCAAGCTGACCGCGTCATAAATAAGGCTGAAGCGTGCTGGATGACAAGAAAGTAACAGGCTGGTAATAGCTTTCAAAGTGTTTTATTGTTTGTGTCGACGTCCTTTGTGAGCGCATCTCTTTTTGACGCGACCCAAATGTCACCCTTTGGCTCTTTTTGTTGATTGAGAGAAGTGAGAAAACAAAACCAGTAATGTGGGAAACTTTAATTTTAACTACAGTGAGAAGGGGGGGGGGGTGAGGTCTTTGACGTGTTAGTGGAATATCAAACCCCTCGGTGTTGAGTTGTAAATGACGCCTCGGTAACATCATAATTATTAAAAACGCTCCTCGTACCCCGGGCCCGCTGTGAGGGGCCAACAGGCGGCTGCACTTCAATCAGCATCGGCTTGGCGGGGAACAGTGGGCCGGGGCAGGCGTCTCCGTGGGCGGCATGCAGTTTGACCGTGGGGCGGTCTGTAAGGGCCCTGCACCGGCCCTGCAGCCTGGGGGTCTTTTTAACTCTGCAGGGCGCTGGTGTCCTACAGGGGTGATCACAGCGCTCAACCCCCTCCTTACACTGAGCCGGTAATACAGGCATGAAGCGGCATCAATGGGCTGGAAAAGACGATCCAAGGCTTGTTTTGTTTTGTTAACAGGCTGAATGAAAGGGATTAACACTGGCAATGTGTGCATCATCTGAAGAATGCATGTCTGTAGGGATTTAGATTCCCTTCTTCAACCCTCATTCACAAATTCTATCTTAAATGTCAGGCACCAAAACCTCTTAATTTCCCTTCAAGACTCTCAAAGTGGCTGCTTGTTTTGGACCATAAATCTTCAATCTGCATCATTAATCTAACAGACTATTATCTTAACATGTAGATTACGCTCATTAGCATCACAAACACTAAAGGAACTGCCCTTTTATCACATCTCCTTTAGTGTCTGTGTGGGAAAACACCTACTTTTCTTCACATCATATGTAAATGTCAGCACTTTTTAACACAACATATGTTGTTAGGCCTGTGCTGAAAGGTTACAGTATGGCAGGGTGTGTGATCCCACAGGAGACCTCAGATGTCTGCAGAACAAAAAATATATATCAAGATTTCAAAGATATATTCATCATTTAGAGTTAATAGATCTGTGAAAGGGGCCGTGCAACATGTCTATGCTGCTGCAGGGAGGTGTTTTAACATGTCTTGTGTGATCTCTATTTATGTACGTCTCCTTCTCTTTAGGGACAATAAGGTATGTCTTATATTATCTTATTACATCATAGATTAACAAGTTGGAATTAAATAAAACAAGCCAGAAACAATAAGAGTAAAAATCTAATCTACAAGTCTATTTTAGGTCTGTTTCCTTCATACCTTCTGACCTTCATCAGTCAGACGAGAACAGGGACTAATCATCTTAACCCCAGGACATTTTCTAACTCTCTGTTCCAAAAGTCAGAACTGAAAAGGCGCTTCAGTTAGCTGCTCCCTTTGAACGAATCACAAAAAGAGTTGAACAAACTTCTCTCGTTGGATGATTTTAAGAGAATGTTAAATGACTTGGAGGCGGACACATCTGGCTTCTCCCTGATGTGTTACTGGATGATTTTGACAAATATTTGCTGTTATTTGTTATTTGTGTCTTTTCATGCCTAATGATGTTTTGTATTTGTATGTTTGGCTGCTTGTTGTTTGTGTGTAACTCTGTTAATTGTGCTGCTGACTGTCTCGGCCAGGACGCTCTTCAAAAAGAGATTTTTAATCTCAATGAGTTTTATTTTTTGGTTAAATAAAGGTTAATAAAAATAATATTTTATGGAAAGAGTCACAATTGGTAGAAATGTACTGTAACAATACTTTTTTATTTATTTGTTATTGTTGCTTTCACACCTGCTGACCTCTTCCCCTTTTAACATCTCAAACACACACACACACACACACACACACACACACACACACACACACACACACACACACACACACACACACACAACCACACCTTGTGATTTTTCTTTAGTTGCATAATGATGTGAATTTTCACTGGTTAGATGTTTAATAAAGAGCTTTTAAGGGGCCGTCTAATCTCCCTCTGGCTGGCTACCATCAACCTTTAGAGTCAACTGAAATAAGTTTGTTAACAGTTTTGAATTGCTTTTATTTAATGTGTCATATCTTTCTCTGGAACGCTGAATTCCTGTCTGCACAACAAATTTTCCTTTGGGTACAAATAAAGAAACCTCGAACCCTGAACCTTGAAGTGCTCATGCTCTCTGGAGAGATTTGGTCCAGTTTGGTTGTTATTTTTCATATATATAGAGCCTCATATATTTGTGTTTTATACAGGCAGCAGAAACAGCTGGGCCCCTGAAAGGTCCAGGGAATGGTCCCTCACATGGATATGATTTAAATCAACGTATGCACATTTGCTCAGTACTGTTAGCGCTAGCCTCCTGGCTAACGTTAGCGCCCTCTGCCTGGCTCCCATCAGCGTTTGGAGTAGACGGAAATAAGTTTGTTAACAAGTTCTTGCCGGGGTCAAATGCACGAGCCATCTCCCTCCTTTTCTGGCTTTGTGCCAGTCAGGGAGCGGCTTTACTTCTTCCAACGTAACTGGCACAACAGTAAAGTTCACTGGGCCCACTTACATCGGTAACATTACGATTTTAAGAAAAGAGGGGTTTACATTTTGAAACAGGCAACATCTTAAACAACAATACATACAATGTGTGTTTTTGTTGCTTTTAGAAGTAACGCTGAGTTTTTAGGTGTTAGGTGTTAAATAAGATGTGAAAATTGTTGCTTGAAATTAGGACAGACCATGTTTTAGCTATGGAGCCTCCAAGCTTTCCCTTTTATCCCCCCTGATGGGCGGCCTTGCACAGTACCCTCCTCAAAGCGGTGAGTAAAGTCACATCAGAATTACAGAATTTTGTTTATTTAACATGTAGTATAGCTAGCCTAAAACAAGGATTGTCCCTTTAATCATTTGATATTGAGTTGGTTAAGGCAGTGGTTCTCAACTAGTGGGTCAGGACCCAAAAGAGGGTCGTGAAAAGTTTTCAGGGGGTTGTGAATGTGTCTCTTGTCTTAAAGGCTGTGAAGCTCTTGTTGCTTGTTGCATGTTTTGGACCACCTGAGGTCCAAACTGCAGATTTTGTCATTAAATAAATCTGATTGGGGCGCTGGTGGCCTAGTGATGTCGCAAACACCATGTACAGAGGCTGTAGTCCTCGGTGCAGTGGACTTGGGTTCGAATCCTCCCAACATTTTACTGTGTCTCCTTAGCTGTCTCGTCCAAGAAAGAGCAACAATACCCCAAAAATATCTTTACAACATAAATAAATAAATGTGATTGGTTGAACAATTTCATACATTTGGGGTTGTGATTTTTCATGAAAGATTTGGTGGAGGGTCCTGAGGCTAGACCAGGGTACAGCAGGGGGTTGGGACCTCAAATGGTTAGAAATACCAGCTATCTATTCCAGCATCAACAACAGCAAAAAACTGTAAATGCATCCTTCAGCCTTTTGACGTAGCTAATATTTTCTAATCTTACCATTTTGATCTTCCTAAATCTGAACGTTTGGGCGTCATGTTGCACGTTTTCAGCAGCAGCAGTGTGTGCTTTCATCGACACTTCCAGGTGAATTCAGTCCGATACGGTTCGCTCCTGTTGTGCAGCTCTCCTGTGACAAACAGCATCTTTTTTTTTATGCGCCACACAGCTGAATATCCGTCAGGCAGGTTCACTGTGGGACCATTCTGCATGTCAAGGCTGCTGCAGTTATTTGTCACTCCCTGTCAAGGCTCAAGTGCTCGCTCCTCCGCACCCACCAAGGCCTGCAGAGAGGGGTGCGCACAGACGAGCATGTGCGTGCTCATGACAGCAGTCCCTGTGGTGAGCAGGTGTCCAAGCCTGTGTGTATGGCTTTCGATGCTCAGGTTGAAGGGGCCAAGTCAAGGTGCACTTCTCAAAGTCTGACCTCTGCAGGTTGTTCAGGTGGAGCTGAGATTATGTCTGCAAAACTGCACTGATATGAGATTGTCGAGGCTGATATCGAAATTAGGAAGAGTATTGCATATAGTTTAAAGGCAGGGTTGGTAATTTTCAAAAACTGGCATGATTTTGAAAGTAGCATTCCCTCAGTGCTCTGTCACCCCCCCCCCCCCCCCCCCGTGCTCCCTCAAAAGCCACGCCCCCTCACTTACATGCACGAGCGCCGTTGCTCCAGAAGTGGAAACTACGTCGTCTCATGTCTCATTCAGCTGTGAGTAAACTCACAGTATAAACTCTGTCATCAGTGAAGCGCTTTGAGTGTGAGCTAGTGAACGCAAGAGGTAGAGAACGAGCAGGGAGACAGGGAGGCGTCTGATTGGTTTATCAGATTAGTACCTCGTGGCAGACATTGGTTGAAGTTTTTACAGACTTACAAACTGCTACAGATGATGGATTTTCTTTGTTCCTTTTTCAGAGCACATGAGTTATTAATTTCTGTCAGGACCTAAAGACAATTTGAACCAAAATCTTAAAAAGTGGATCTGGAGGAAATGACCAACCCTGCCTTTAAAGTACCGGTGCAATATGTATTTATAT